TCCCTTGTCAGGTTGTCAGTCTGGCCGTCGAGAATTGCTTTTTGGCGCTCTAGAATCTAAAGTTATCATCCGATAACTACTGTCAGAGTTATGGGCCTTGGTCACTAAGAAAAAATTGTGGACACTCTAGTGTAAAGTATACAGTTTCCATCTGATCGACTTGCGAAAAACCGAGGTCCCGTGTATACACTGGCGTGCACGCAAGAGATTCCTTGGCAGTTGGAATTCAATATAAGAGTTGGCCATTATGCCGCTGCCCGGGTAAAATATCCCTCGTAGCACACTGTATGGCGTATGCCCGTCTTCATTAGCCCAGTCGGAGCAGAACAGCAGGACGTTAAACCCCATTTCATTTCATTTCATTTTAGAATTTTAAATTGCAATTACAGGTATTCCGTTTCATTTTTTTATTTTTATTTCAGATTAGTGATAATTCTGGGTTTTTTGCTTGACTTCGGGGATTCTTATTTTGCTAAGATAGAATATGACCGACAAATAGAGAGCCAACCTATTTACGACATCTTACAACCAACAGATGTACAAGTGGCCGACGTTTACACTAAGGAAGAAATTCAGGAATTTTTGAAACTTTATTCTTACTATCTATATGTGAAAAGTTCTATTTTAATGGACAATCGGGGTTAACGAATCCAGAAAGATCGAAATAAGACAATCAGGGTTAACGAATCTAGAAAGAATGAAATGGGACAATCGGGGTTAACGAATCTAGAAAGAATGAAATGGGACAATCGGGGTTAATGAATCCAGAAAGATCGAAATGGGACAATCAGGGTTAACGAATCTAGAAAGAATGAAATGGGACAATCGGGGTTAACGAATTCAGAAAGATCGAAATGGGACAAATGATTTCAGAAGGGTGAAAACTTGACATATATTAAAGGTTTGGAAAGACGACATTCTATGGATAGACGCAGTGTCGGACTGGGCCCACCTGTCCACCTGACAGGTGGACCTAAGCTTATTTTTAAAAAGTGGGCCTAAGCCTATAAAGAAAAAAGAGAAAAAAAAGAAAAAAGAAGAAAAGAGAAAGAAAGGAGAGGGGGAGGAAAGAAAAGAAGGAAGGAGAGGACAGGACACAATGATAGTCCTCTTAGGTCATTCTGTTATTTAATTGTATCAGGAAATCAAAAATTTGCCTTTTTCTGCTTTGGTCTGAAATGCTTGGTAAATGAGTTTGCGGTTGTCAATTTTCAAAATTTTCCTGGGGAGAGAACTCCCCCAGAACCCCCTCGGACGTTCGCGAGCCTTTGGCGCGCTCGTGACGCACCGAATGTGGGCCTTGGTCAATGACCGGACAGGTGGGCCTAGGGCCCACCAGTCCGGCACTGGATAGACGACCTCATGAATACTTTCCTTCGGGGAATGCTCACTAGTCCGCGGGTTCATTAGTCCACCAATATCTATTATCAGGGTTAGGGTTATGTATTTTGTTACCCATAATTATAAACCTGTAACGGTAAATCTCTTTGATCTTTGGGGTATATTCTATGCTCGGAATAACTTGCGGTCTGAAAGTCGGGAGAGGCTTTGGATATATACAGGGAAATTTGGGGTTATTCTTCCGAAAGTTTTTCTTTAAACCTGTAACGGGTTATTCTTCCAGGGTAGGGTTTTTTTTCCATAAGAAAACATGATATAAGGTTTTTCTTGTGGGAATTCTGGGTTATTCTCATCTAGCGTACATGTAAACAGACGGTTTATAAGCAAGATAAAGTCCTCGACTTCGGTTATGCTGGGGAAGAAAGACTTCAGAAAAAACCCTCGACAGAAAAACCGAGGCCGGTCGGGTTATTTTCTTCAGTCTTTCTTTCCCCAGCATAACCTCAGTCTCGTGCTTTATACTACACTTATAGTATTTCTTATAGCGGCGGATTAGTGAACCAGCAGTCTAGTGAACCCCTCTCCTTTCCTTCCCCCAGCAGGATAATGGATATCACGAAGCAATATAAATAGATTATATTTTGCAATAAAATTTTATATTTTGCAATAAAATTTTATATTTTGCAATAAAATTTTATATTTTTGAAATAAAATGAAGTTTAAAGGCTCAATACCACTCTTGTTGTAACTGAATAATATGTCCCAATCTTTATTCTGGTCAACAAATTGTACTATTTTAGAATATTTCAATTAATTGATGATACAAATTTCATCTTAATTTTGAAAAATTCAACATAATGGTTTGAAACGTCTAACGTAAACCTTTTCAAATGAAACTTCGATTTAAAAATATTTTCGAACCCTCTGGACAAGTAAAATAGGATGTAATGGATAACTTACACAACAGGTAGGACACTTAAACATCTAGTACTTAGATAGAGATATTATTTATTTTCTGGAGCTTTCAAGCCAGCAAGAGTGTTATTGTCCCTTTAACCTCCTGCTGTTCTGTACAAACGGGGCTATAATGAATACAGTGTGCTGTGAGGTGCGCCAATCGGGATATAATGAATATAGTGTGCTGTGGGGTACGCCAACCAGGCTATAATGAATACGGTGTGCTATGTGGGGCGCCAACCGGGATATAATGAATACAGTGTGCCATGAGGTGCACCAACCCGGCTATAATTAATACTGTGAGGTGCACCACCCAGGCTATAATGAACACGATGTGCTAGGAGGTGCACAAACCGGAATATAATGAATACGGTGTGCTGTGAGGTGCACCACCCGGGCTATAATGAACACGATGTGCTAGAAGGTGCACCAACTGGGATACAGTGGTGTGCTATGAGGTGCTGTGAGGTGCACCAACTGTGCTATAATGAATACGGTGTGCTATGAGGTGTGCCAACCGGGATATAATGCATAGGGTGTGCTATGAGGTGCACCAACTGTGCTATAATGAATACGGTGTGCTATGAGATGCACCAACTGTGCTATAATGAATATGGTGTGCTATGAGGTGTGCCAACCGGGCTATAATGAATACGGTGTGCTATGAGGTGCACCAACTGTGCTATAATGAATACGGTGTGCTATGAGGTGTGCCAACCGGGCTATAATGAATACGGTGTGCTATGAGGTGCACCAACTGTGCTATAATGAATACGGTGTGCTATGAGGTGCACCAACTGTGCTATAATGAATACGGTGTGCTATGAGGTGTGCCAACCGTGATATAATGAATACGGTGTGCTATGAGGTGCACCAACTGTGCTATAATGAATACGGTGTGCTATGAGGTGTGCCAACCGGGCTATAATGAATACGGTGTGCTATGAGGTGCACCAACTGTGCTATAATGAATACGGTGTGCTATGAGGTGTGCCAACCATGATATAATGAATACGGTGTGCTATGAGGTGCACCAACTGTGCTATAATGAATACGGTGTGCTATGAGGTGCACCAACCGGGCTATAATGAATACGGTGTGCTATGTGGTGCACCAACCGGGCTATAATGAAGACGGTGTGCTATGAGAGAAATATTGCTCAACAGTTTTTCTATTTACTCCTCAAAGTCCAACCTATACACAGGACCTCAGGACTAAATGATGTCCCTTGCATGATACTCCTATCTGCACCCTACACAGGACCCCAGGTGTCCCTTGCAAGAAACTTCACGTTGCACCAATAACTAGATCGTGTTCCTTGCCAGATAATCTGCCCTGCACCATTGACTAGGGGAATCTACACTGGTTATTGAGTCCCTTATATTTATTAAGTTGTTTGTCGTTTGTTTGGGCTTTTGGGGAGAGCGGGAGGCAGATTTGTACATGTAGGGTTGGGAGGGGGGTGAGGTGGGCTTTTTTCATTTAATTCATTATGGCTTTCCCCATCCCTAACCCCTAACATTATAAAGAACACACTTTAGGTTTCTGTATCATCCAAAAAACTAGTCACAGACAATAATAACCCAGGTGACCGGACCAGGACTTTCCGAACAACTATGTAGTCACCCTAAAGAAATTGAAATGAACTGAACTAGGGTTTCATGTTTTAAATTATCTGCACTGACCGGGCTATTGAAGACGGGTATACCACATACAGTGTGCTACCAGTGCCGCTACAGTCAACTCTTATATTTGAATTCCATCTGTCATGTTTCTTTTACATGCACATGTTTTTCATGCCATCCAAATGACTAGACAGCAGTTAGACAGAGAGAGAGAGATAAATGGGGTTTTACGTCCACTCGACACAAACTAGGTCATTTCGGGACTAACATATGGTTTAATTTTATTTCAATAATTTGATTGCGCATAGGGGTCTTTAGCAGTGGGAGGAAACCGGAGGCCCCCGGAGAAAACCCACGAGGTTGGACAGGGAACCAAGGTAGTTGACTCAATGACAGGCCTTACAATACACCGCACACGTGCAAACCATTCGGCCATCCGCCCGCCCCCCCCCCCCCGCACAACTGACAACAGGGGGAACAATATAATAGACAATAGTTATATGATATATAATAATGTTTATTTACAACATAATATCACAAGAAAACAGGTGCTATAATAATAATAATAATAATAAATAGGTGATGATATATAATCTGTGTTATATATTACAAATTGTATACAATAAAAGCAATCAAATATTTCATCATAATGGTTTCCATGGAGACAAAGAAACAGGGTTTTATTTCTATTGTTAATTAATCTGAAAATAAGATATCAAAAAAACCCAACTAGGTCAAGATCGGAACACAATAATTAGATCTTCTGTTCTTCAAGGTTTTAATAAATAAAGACCTATTTCGATTACATGAAATCTGTTTTGTTAAAACTTTTGTTAGAACTATAAGCCTCTGAGCAGTATAACCAAGTACGGTACATTTGGTTTTTAAATTAGTCCAATTTCCTGAAGAAATAAGACAGGGAATTTTTAACAAAACAAATGAAAATTAAATTGGGTTCTCCTTACTTATAGTTTAACAATAGGCCTACAATCAATAGGCCAACTACAATCAATAGGGTTACAATCAACAGGCCTACAATAAATAGGCCTAGAATCAATGGGCCTACAATCAATACCCTTACAATCAATAGGCTTACAATCAATAGGCCTACAATAAATAGGTTTAGAATCAACAGGCCTATAATCAATCGGCCTACAACCAATAGGCATACAATCAATAGGCCTATAATCCATAGGCTTACAATCAATTGGCTTACAATCAATTGGCTTACAATCAATAAGCCTACACGCAAAAGGCCTACAATCAATAAACCTACAATCAATGGGGTTACAATCAATAGGCCTACAATCAAAGGGGAATTCTTATTCTTAAAATAAAAAATTAACAAACAAGCCTAAAGTTCCAATAAATCCAGCTACAATTCTTGAGGTGGTCATTTCAGATAATGTAAAAAGAGATGAGTATTTCTCAAAAATCAGGCGGGAAATTCTTATTTAAAAAAAAACAAAAATAAACAAGCCGTCAGATTTGAAGTCCGTAGTAACCATATCTACATTTCTTTGGGTGGTAATTTTAGTTTTGTCAAGAGATGGGGGAGGGGGGGCATTCTAGTTTTGTCAAAAGAGATGGTGGACACTAATTAGCTTGTGCGTAGGGGTCTTTAGCAGTGGGAGGAAACAGGAGAAAACCTACGAGGTTGGAGAGGCAACCCTACTCCTTGTCACGTAAATGACAGACCTGATGGAACACTCACATGTTTAGCCGTTCGGTCGACCACAACCACATGTCTTGATGATAAAACTGTGTAATTATTGCCCAAATCATTTAAGCAATAACATCCAGTAACATCCTGTAGGGAGAGGGGTTTTACATAGACTAAGCCTGCTCCCCAATCCCATTCAGACAACCTGAATAAAATATTGTTTTAACAAAAAAACATCCTTACCCCTCACTCCCCCTACTCCCATGTTAACCTCGCCCATTTTTTTCAGGGAAATTCTTTTCTTAGAATTCTCTCAAAATGAAGGGTCATGTATTCATTATTTTTTTGTTTCTTTATACATTAATAAAGCAAATATACATAAAATATCGGACAAGTTTATAAACAAAACACCTGAAAAAAACAATAGATATCACATTCCTAAAACTGGGTGTTGGAACTAATGAACAATAGGGTTATAATCAGGGACAGACTGGATATACAAATATACCGGTAGGCTGGGACAGCCAGGTAACAAAATTGGCCATGGCTTGGATACAAATATCAATATTGGGTTGAGAATAGATCTTTGCCCTAAATGGCCGACATATCCAAAAATTAGTGAATTATTTTGTAATGTGGTTCTATTCCGTCCATACACACAAAGACTAAATAAACTTGTTCAATGATATTAAATTGAAACAGAATACATATTTCTCAAACTTATCCAAGTATACTTAGGGTTTTTTTGACTAATATTGTCAATTTAGGAATTGAAATGTCGGTCAACTAGCTTAGCGTCTGTTCTCAAGCGGAGAAGTTTAGTGTGGGAAAATTTCTGGCTGTCCATCCTTGACCTTCCGTTTCCCTGACCGCCTCAAACTGTATAATGTGACACCACAGCTAAGAGCCCTAGTCATCAACGATTTCAGATTGACCAAGTGTTAAAGGGCAGCCTATGGACCTTTGGTTACCATTGATTTCAGACGCACCAAGAGCTAAAGAGTTAAATATAAACTATAAATTAACAAACCCTGAATTCATCAATTTTAAACATAAACAAACTGGCTTTTCCTGCCTGCAAACAAAACAAAAATTATTTACCCTTCCAGATTTAAAATATTTTGATTGTTTTTCACGATGCGTGAGGAATGAGCAGATTTCAAGCTCACTACAGAACGTTACAACTACTGGCATTATCTGCCTCCACTGGTGTGGCCCCAACCCGTGTGGCCAAAATTGGAGTATCTGAAATAGGTGTAGCTGAAACCTGTGTGGCCTCAACCAGTGTAGCCTAAATGTTGTGTCAGAAAAGTCATTCTACGTGACATGAAGTTTATTGGGGAAATCCCCTTCCGAGATAGGGAAATGTTGTGGCCCTGACTGATCAACACAGCATCTGGTGAACAGTTGTTTCCCTGACTGACCAACACAGCATCCGGTGAACGGGTGTGTCCCTGACTGATCACTACAGCATCTGGTGAACTATTGTGTCCCTGACTGACCAACACAGCATCTGATGAACTGCTGTGTCCCCGACTGACCACTACAGCATCTGGGGAACGATTGTGTCCCCGACTGACCAAATACTTTTTTTATACATCCTAATATTCGGATATCAGGCAATGATATTTTAAACTATTTACAGAATTAAGAGTTTTTAATGGTATGTTAACCCTTTAGAAAAAATCAACATCATTTCCCTGAAATAATTAGGGAAAATTGATGAATATCTTGGGATATTTTTACATTGAGTTTTTGTAGCTCATTTTCAAAACTGCCCCAAAACAACTGTTCTTCTGTTCCGTAGACATTGTTAAAAGTCCTTAAATAGAGAAAGAAATGGGGTTTAACATCCACTCGACACAAACTAGGTCATTTTGGGACTAACATATGGTTTAATTTTATTTCAATAATCCGCTTGCGCATAGCAGTTGGAGGAAACAGGAGGACCCGGAGAAAAAATCCTGAGGTTGGATAGGCGAACCTTCTCCTTGTCACGTACAACTGGGGAATCAAAACCACGCCAGTTGACTCAATGACAGACCTTATGAGTGAACCATACGGCCATCCAAGCACCCCCAGTCCTTAAATAATTCACTGCAGTAGGAACATCTGGAGCACTACAAGCAACAGGTTCAGGGCCAAAGCACTAGGAGCAGTCGTAGCATTCGGAGCATTCGGAGCATTCGGAGCAGTAGTTCCGGGCCGGAGCAGTAGTTCCGTCCGGAGCAGAAGTTCAAGGGTTAAACCACAAATATTGATAAAGATATAATACCATTGAAGCTGGCTCACTTAAAAATTGATGAAATAACTCTCCAAAAACAACTGAATTATTTTGATTAAAATTCAAAATTTTCAGAACATATTTAATTTAAATCGCTCAATATAATTTTTTTAAAAAATGGGAATCTTCTAATAAATTCTAAAACAATCTATACAATCTATTAAAATGCAGACACGTGGGGGATCAATGGAAGGGATGGGCGCATCAATTTTTTCAAACATGGACATATTGTGTGTGTGTGGGGGGGGAGGGCATTTCAAACATGGACACATGGGGTATCAATGGCAGGGGTGGGGCATCAAATATTTCAAACATTGACACGTTGGGGTGGGGGGCATCAAATATTTCAAACATTGACACGTTGGGGGGGGGGGACATTTCAAACATGGACACATGGGGGCATCAATCATTCATTCATATTAACAACAAGAGATGATAAATATTTAAAATTGATTGAGTAAAAGAATTAATAAAAGTCTAAAAGTCTTCGTTTTAAATCTCGTTCACAAAAACCATAATCTGCGGCATTTCCCAAACATCAATAACACTCAACTTGCACAAAATTCTAGATGCACGAGACGACACAAGCTAGAAATATTTAACAGTCAACTGCCAAGAACATTCTCGATCTTCTCAGAATTCTCAACACAAACGTTGATTTTTCCAAACTTAATGCCATCCTAGAATTCACACTTCTTAAATTCACACAAAGATTTATTCTATAAATATCCATTTTGACAAAGTATGCAAAGCTCATTTTTTCTCTTCCGGAGTGCAATGCATCTGGTTTGAAGACAACAAACTTATTTCTTAAATTGTCTGTTTGTGTTTGCCCTCTTTTAAAAAGTTTGAACTGTGTCAAATTTTGGAATAAATAGATCTGGGTTAGATTAACGGAACATCAAAGAACTGTGTCAAAAATCGACATCCCTTTCGTTATATTCTCATCCTGGAAGATAAAAATATAATATAAAATAATTTTATCTTAGATAATGGAACAATGAAAGAAAAACGGGGAGAGAGAGAGAGAGAGGTTTGTATCACACAAACGTGTTAAAATACTAGACCATCCAATACTCCTTTAGCTGTGGGAGGAAATCGGAGAAAAACCACGAGGTTGGACAGGTGACCCTACTCCTTGTCACGTACAACCAGAATTCAAAACCACGCCACTTGACTCAATAACAGACTTTATGTTATGACTTGCACGTGTTAAACCACAGACAACTCTACTCCTTGTCGATCCCACACCACTTGAATCAATGACAGAAATGAAATGAAATGAAATGGGGTTTAACGTCCTACTGTTCTGCTCCTATGCTGGGCTAATGAAGACGGGCATACGCCATACAGTGTGCTATGAGGGAAATTTTGCCCGGGCAGCGGTTCCATCGCCTACTCTTATATCGAATTCCAACTGCCAAGGGATCTTTTACGTGCATTCCAATGTATACACGGGACCTCGGTTTTTCGTCTCATCCGAAGGTCTAGTCAGCTGTCCTTGTCAGGCCCTCCGTCCTGCATCACTGACAAGGGGGAACCACGCCGGTAAATCTGGATGAACTTTCTCGGCCAATGCAGGGATCGAACAAATCAATGACAGACCTTATGACCTAAAGCGCACGCATCTAGACCACCTAATAAGGAAGTGGATGCCAGACTTACCCTTTTACAGGTGTCCATAAATTCCTCTAACGATATTACACCATCCATATTCAGATCCATTTTCTAGAAAACAATAATCATAAAACATTACTACAAAATATTAATAATATCACAAAACATTTCTACATTCTACAAAACAATAACAATATCAAAAAACATTCTACAAAATAACATTAATATCATAAAATATCACAAAATATTTTTTCATTCTACAAAACTTTCTACAAAATAACAATAATGCCATAAAATATCATAAAACATTTCTATATTCAAAATCTTCACTAATTGATTCAAATGGAGGGAAGGATGTTGTGAAGGGACAGAGAGAGAGGGGGTTTAACCAGTGATTTAAAGGGTGGAAGCGATGGTGTGAGGTGACAGAGAAGGTATAACAAGTGTATAACACTATCAATTTTTGCACCATGTAGCAATTTCAGTAAATTTTGGGGGGTTGGATGGCTGAATGGTTAGCGTGCGCGCGCTGTATCATACAGTCTGTCATTGAGTCGACTGGCGTGGTTTCGAATCCCCAGTTGTACGTGGCAAGGAGTAGGGTCGCCTGTCCAACCTCGTGGGTTTTCTCCGGGTCCTCCGGTTTCCTCCCACTGCTAAAGACCCCTACGCGCAAGCGAATTATGTAAATAAAATTAAACCATATGTTAGTCCTGAAATGACCTAGTTTGTGTCGAGTGGACGTTAAACCCCATTTCTCTCTCTCTCTCTCTCAGTAAATTTTTAAAGAGAGGGTTTAACAAATGATTCAAAGGAAGGAAGGGTGTGTGTGTGTGAGAGAGAGAGAGAAAGAGAGAGAGATAATTAACAATTTTTGCACCATGTAGCAATTTCAGTAAAGTACATGATGATTTATATTTTATTATATTTAACGCAGAGGTTTGTCTTGTAGAACTAAAGATGGATACCCAAAGTAATCCTACGGCCACTAGATGGAGAAGGTGTTGAATCAGGGATGGAACCCACGACTGCAAGCCACAGGTCACCGGTCAGCTACAGCTCAAAGTATAACATTCTAGTCCATGAGATTATCCCACCTCCGTCCAATTACAAAAAGGTCTTGTCCTAGGCCATGAGGTCATCTGAGCCCCGTTCATGTGCAACAAAAGGTGTTTGCCTTATAAACATACACAACTAACCTGAAAAACTTGATCAACATGTTCTCGTGGTGTGTTCTCGTCACAGATATGTTCCGAGTACCTTCCCATCATTTCATAAATCGCCGATACTATATCTACCATCTCATCTTTAGTGATTATACCGTCACCATTGATGTCGTATAAATTAAAGGCCCATTGTAACCTTTCCTGTAACGTTCCTCGTGATAGAACAGACAACCCCATCACAAACTCCTGTAAAACAATAAAACACTTTCAAATATTTTCTAATAACTTCAATCTGATGTATATTTCGTTTCGTTCTTTTATACTTTCAATGGCCTACACTACATGAAGATCTGACCAGTTGTAGTGAGGGATCGCGTCAGAGGTGATACGAGCGGCTTTTGACCCTATGACATCAGATATTTGATTAATCAATCAGCGTTGATTTTTTTAGTGGGTAAACTACAGTTCCGTGCATCCCACACCAAAAACTTGCCACAATAGATCGTTTCATTGGCTGATCCCCACATCACCCAGAACGCGGGTTGTATAACAACTCTTCCAGATCCTAGTGTGGTAAAGACAAGTAAAATGAAAGTTTGAACTATAAAAAACGAAACGAAATAGGATCTGGGTTTTAATCAGATTGCTAAGTTAAGTTTATTGAGATTTCTTACACTGGTAAACTGATATCATTGACGCAATCTGATAAAACACAGATCCTATTTCGTTTCATTTTTTATAGTTCAAAATGACCGATTACTAACAATTTTAATGAACTAATAAACATTATGTATATAAAATGATGTCTTTGATCTCTAAGTGTCGTATATATTCACAGCATGCATACACTGCAATGTGAATGACATCCATTAATGATGACTGTGCCCATCAGGATAGCTTGATTAGATATGAGAAACTTTCCCTGAAGACTGAACTAGAGTTATTCCCCTTACATTGTATTAGGTAAAGGAAGAACCAAAGGGTTTTTGCTTTCATATTTCGATGTCACGAAAGGTTAAATGAAATGGGGTTTAACGTCCTACTGTTCTGCTCCAACTGGGCTAATAAAGACAAGCATACTCCATACAGTGTTCTATGAGAGGAATTTCACCTGGTCAGTGACGTTATGGCCTGCTCATATCTTTGGCCTACTATTTCCCATTATCAAGGGGTTCTTTAAATGCACATTAATGTGTACAAATAAAGGATCTTGGTTTTTGGGCCCATTGGAATAAATAATTGATAGTTTATACAACTACATCTATGTTGGGTTCCTGCTTAACGATTACTGACACGATTATCTCAGAAATCATGACTACGCCTTCAATTACAGAGAGGGCGCTGCAAATTACCCTTTTTACTGGTCATCTCAAATTTCTGCGAATGATCTTTTCGTTCTCCCCTATGCTGGACTTGTCGCTCCATCACGATTGGCTCTTTTACCCAAGCAATCATTTATCTACAATATGCCCCTGGTTAGAGGCGGTACCCTACGCCCCTTTAACGAAGGATGGAACGAATGGTCAACAATTGGTTATCTATTTCTAACCCCTAAATTCAGATTCCCTGATTTCTTACCTCAAAACTGATAGAACCATTATTATCATGATCAAATGTGCTGAACACATAATGAGCGTACTGACTCGAATCTGAAACAATCAATTAACATTTTAATAGCAATAAAGTTTAATAAATCTGAGGGAGAAACCGGGTTTTAAATCCACTTGGCACTATGGCTTACTCTTATATCGAACTCCAGTTGCCAAGGGAAATTTTACATGCACGGCAATGTGTACATGGCACCTCAATTAATTTTTCATCCCATTCAAATTATTGAGAACTGTCCTTGTCAGCCCCCCCCCCTTGCACCACTGACAAGAGGAAACCATGTCTGAAAATCCCAATGAACTTTATGCAGGGATCGAACACGCGACTTAACCGCCATGGTTACCTTACGACAAAGGATCTGATAATATAACAAAAATATTTATTCTGTTTACAAAATTCCGTAGAATCCCAGGCCTGTACGATCATGCAAAAAATCAGAAATTAACAACATCGTAACAACATCTTAATCTTGTAAGATCACCAGCTGCTTCCCCGTGACCTACAAATATCATACTCTGAAATCCATGCATCCCCCAATCTAGTTGAGGTGTTTCGAGTTCCAGCACCCTAAGGTAAAGTCCATGCGCCCCCAATCTGTGTCCCAGCAACCTAAGGTGAAATCCATGCATCCCCCAATCTAGTTGAGGTGTTTCGAGTTCCAGCACCCTAAGGTAAAATCCATGCGCCCCCAATCTGTGTCCCAGCACCTAACGTCAAATCCATGCGCCCCCAATCTAGTTAAGGTGTCTGTATCCCAGCACACTAAGGTAAAATACATGCGCCCCCAATCTAGTTGAGGTGTCTGTGTCCCAGCACCCGAAGGTAAAATCCATACGTCCCCCAATCAGTGTCCCAGCACCCTAAGGTAAAATCCATGCGTCCTCCGATCTAGTTAAGGTGTCTGTGTCCCAGCATGCCCTAAGGTAAAATCCGCCGAAATTTGAAATTAATAAAGTACTCACCACCCTGAGGAAAGAACTGAGCATAAATATCTTTAAATGTTTCTTCATTTACTATCCCTGTTGGACATTCCTGTAAATAAACATAAAACTCATGTATAAAGATTTAATTACTTTAACAAGGTAAACTTGTGTATTTGTGGGGCCACACTAAACTGAAGTATTTCTCGGAGCACTTGAGTCTGACCTTCTATCCGTGTATATATGCAAACACCATGTCCAATCAGACAATACATAATAAAAAAGAACAGGAATGCAATGCCTGTTGAAGACTCGCTTTTACCTGCTCTTGCTTTGGCTCGTTTTTTTTCAACAATTCGTAATGTCAGGCAATGAAACCTCTGTCGATTCACTCAGATATGTTTTTTCTTCAATCTAGTTGTTTTGATTTGCATAAATACTACCACAAAACGATATCATAGCCACTTGTTTCCAATATTTACATTACTTTCGTCCATATCCATTTTGTCACTACCGCCATGCGCTGACGTCACACAAAAACCTAACCAACCTCTGAAGTCTTGTATACGTCCACCTAAAAATTATAAATATTCACCAAAACCTGGCAGAAAATGTATATGCAAACCTTCTTCTTCCATTCTACACCCAAAAGTCAACAAAAATCGCCATGCAAAAGAGGGAAAATGGAAAGGAAGAGAAAAACTAAAAATATCTTTGGCACTTGTTTCAATGGTCTAGTCACTGCGGATTGATTTTGTGTGACGTCAGCGCATGGCGGCAATGACAAAATGGAAATGGACGAAAGTAATGTTAATATTGGAAACAAGTGGCTATGATATCGTTTTGTGGGAGTATTTATGCTGCACTTTTCTCAAATTTTTCTCATTGGAAAAAAAACAGTTTTAAAACAATATCTCAAGTTTTTCGATGCGGGGGGAATAAAAATATTTTTAAAACAAAAATGATTGATTGTTTCATGGAACTCTAGGCCTGCCTTTTGTTATACAACAGCAATACTAAAATACATTTCTTGATAACAAGTAGTTTGTTAAGATTCAAGTACGATCTGAAGAGTTGTTCGAAAACAGTCTAAAGAAAAATTTGCATTTTTATGATTAAGTTACTATTACATTTGTGGATACATCCCCTTGACAAAATAGAATTCAATATTGAAGACAACAAATTGCAAAACTTTCTACAAGTTTCTTAACAAAAACATGCTGAAGATGGCAGCAGTCAGGATTTCATCGGTTTAATTACTGAAGAAGCATATTTCAAAATATGTCAGTTTCACTGAAAGATCCAATGGTCAGGATTTAAAGCCAAATAATAAGTAGCCTCTTCTTACAGCATAAAATGAAGCTGTCAGTGGGATATGTAAATTAAATGATCTCCTTAACGGCGCCGATTCGTTAAAATTACGATAGAATTAATCTCTAGATCTGCTACATGTTGACATTTTGACTCCAATCTGGTAAAAACAATCAATAATTGAGTCCATTTCGCGGAATCATGGCAGAGAAATCGAGAAAGAAGATCAAGGTTGAGAATCGTACGAGCCAAATATACCGGCTTGTTTATTTGACCAAACGTGTACTGTAATGATTTATGGATCGCGATTCGATTGGTCAGAGACTTTCTCAAGTTTATCTGAGAAATCTGGCTGCTCATCGGGTCTCCTTCAAATGAATGAATGAATGAATGAATGAATGAATGAAATATGGTTTTATGGCACGTCAGCTCCAACCGGGCTATATTGCGCCAAACATATGGTGAATCTGAGACAAATTAAAACAATATCACATAAATGAATTTATATATGTAAATAAAAACAAATATCACAGAAAATATATTAATTAAAAATAAATATAACAAATCTTTTACATATATAAATATTTAAAACGATATACATGATTAAATATATACAATTAAAATTGATTATAAAAGTTTGTCTCTTTTAAAAATGTTAGCACTTTGTCATATAGCTCCGGTTGAGCAAATAGCTGACGTACTGACTGGCAACGGTAATATTTAGATCTAATGTTCTTGAGATGTTTGCACTCAATCAAGATGTGTTTCACTGTCAAAGGAACATGACAGTGAACACATTCCGGTTGAGGCTCTCGCTTCAAAATGAAAATATGAGTTAAAAAAGTATGACCAATGCGAGAGCGACACAAAACAACTTCATCCCTCCTGTTGGTTCTATAGGAGTTGGGCCAATCTCCTAGGAGAGGCTTAATGTGATGAAGTTTATTTGTGCCTGCAAAATCCCAAGACCGTTGCCAGCGGTCATAAATAAAATGATTTATACACGAATTAAAATCTTTATATGGTATTAAAAAGGGTGATTGGGGAAGATCTAAAGCAGCTTTGGCAGCAAAATCTGCTTGATCATTCCCCCTTATATCTACGTGACTGGGGAGCCAGCAAAAGACGACGTCTTTACTGTTGAACTCGTATGATAATGGCAGATGATAAACATCTGCTACTAATGGGTGTTCAAGCTGTTTGTTGTTAATTGCTTGAAGCGAGGACAGAGAATCAGTAAAGATGATATACTTTAAAGATGAAGAGGATTGTATGAACTCCAAGGCCTGAAGAATGGCCTGGAGCTCAGCTGTAAATATTGAAGCAGCAGGTGGAAGACACACAGAAATGGTCTCAGATGGCGTCACGGTAGCCGAGGCTACCCGATCACCATCTTTAGAACCATCTGTGTAAATAGAAGCATAATCACCATACTTAGACCTTAACTCTCTAAAGAGAGATTGGAACACCGTAGAGCTAGTATCTCTCTTTTTATGTTGAGTTAGATCGAAATCGATCTTTGGGGGAGATATAGCCCACGGTGGAGTCCTAAAGACAGGGGTATTCGCAATACTGTCAAGGCTGATACCAGCCTCAGACAAAAGGGGTTGTATGCGAATACCGAATGATGGAATAACATTAGTCTTCACCAGATACAAATGCTCATAAAGAGGTCTAAATATGGTGTTAAATGAAATGTGATTCGGAAGTGATGCTATTTTCGTAGCATACTGCAGGGCCAGTTTATCACGTCTGTTGTGCAATGAGGGCTCATGCGCCTCGACGTATAAACTGTCCACTGGAGATGTACGAAATGCTCCTAAACTGATTCTAAGTCCCTGGTTGTGTATGGTGTCGAGCTCTTTGAGATAAGACTCGCGGGCAGACCCATACACAATACACCCATAATCGAGTTTTGATCTTATTAAAGCTCGATATAATCGGAGCAAGACCTTACGGTCTGCTCCCCAGTCAGTATTTGATAAGACTCTCAATATGTTGAGGGCTTTCAGACATTTCTTTTTTAGGCTTTTAATGTGGGGGATAAATGATAATTTCTTATCAAATATCAGCCCCAGAAATTTGGTTTCATCCACAACTGGAAGGCGGTTGCCATCCAAATAAAGTTCTGGATCTGGATGCAAACCTCGTTTCTGACAGAAATGCATGCAGACAGTCTTGGATTTCGAAAAACGAAATCCATTTTCGGTTGCCCATTGTTGAAGTGAATTCAAACAAAGCTGCAACTTACGTTCGATTATCCGCATGTCTGTAGAACCATAGCACATCTGAAAGTCATCAACATAAAGAGCGCCGTTTGTACCTGGTTTAAGGCACGCTGGGATAGTATTAATTTTAATTGCAAACAATGTTGGAGATAAAATACTTCCCTGTGGAACTCCCATTTCCTGAGGAAATGGGTCAGAGAATATTGATCCCAGTCGTACCTTAAATGACCTATCTTCCAGGAAATTTTTAATGAAGATAGGTAAGCGACCTCGTAGGCCGAGGTTATGGAGGTCGCGCATGATACCGTGTTTCCACGTTGTATCATATGCTTTCTCCAGATCAAAAAATATTGCAACTAAATGTTGCTTCTGGATGAAAGCATCCCTGACGAACGTTTCAAATCGAACGAGATGATCAAGAGTGCTCCTTTGGGACCTAAATCCACATTGGAGGTCAGTAATGAGGTTGTTGGACTCTAGGTACCAAACAAGCCTTCGATTGATCAATCTCTCCATGGTTTTGCAAATACAGCTAGTTAAAGCGATCGGACGATAGTTGGTAGGATTCGTATGATCTTTACCGGGTTTAGGGATGGGAATTATTGTGGCTTCATGCCACGAAGGGGGGAATTTCCCATCAACCCAAATCCGGTTAAAAAGATCCAGTAAAATTAAGAGAGTGGAAAAAGGTAAATGTTTAAGAATTTGGTAGTGTATTTCATCTGGCCCAGTTGCAGTATCTCGAGCTCGCTTTAGCGAATCCCGAATCTCTGCAATGGAAAAGGTATCATTATAGCATTCATCATTGCGGGACTTGAAATTAAGTCGCCTTTTCTCCTGTTGTTGTCTAATGCCTCGAAAGGCATCGGAGGAGAAATTGGATGATGAATTAAATGAAAAAGTACTGGCCAGAGAATTAGCAATATCAGGAAATGTTGTTAAGGTGGTATTATCAACATTTAAATGATTAACTGATAATGCACTACTTTTACCTTTAATCCTACGAATCCTATCCCATACCGACTTAGATGTGGTACGGGAATTAATCCTTGAGACGTAACCTTGCCATGAAGATTTCTTTGCTTGACGTATGGTTCTACGAGCCTTCGCCCGGACCATCTGGTATGCCGCAATATTCTCCATGGAAGGATGGTTCTTTAATCGCCTCAGGATGCGATCACGCTCTTTAAGAGCGGATTTGCAGTCATCGTTGTACCATGGTTTATTGAAACGTTTTGGTGTAGTCGTGGTTTTTGGAATCGCCTGCTCAGCCACATCTTGAAGAATTGAAGTGAATAAGGCCATAGGCTCATCTGCATCTTCTAACTCCTTTGTATCAAAAGAGAAGAGACACAAAGATTCGAAAAGAGCCCAATCGGCCTTATGCAACTTCCACCTCTGAGGTCTTTCGACCGGAGAGGGACCATTATTATCAATCAAGATAGGAAAGTGGTCACTACCACATAGATCTTCATTTACCCTCCATGAAAAATCCTGAAACAGGACCGGAGAGCAAATGGTGAGATCTAGGGAAGAAAAAGAAGCTGTGGCAGGATGTAGATAAGTAGGCGAG